GGTAGATGCGCTTCTCCTCTGTGGGGGAAGGGACGGTCTGTCAGGAGCACGGGGTGGGCCACACAGGCCCAAGTTTCAATCTGGTGAGCTGTGTGAGCCCACGCGTGTCTGTTCACCTTACTCAGCCTCCGTTTTCTCATCTGTAGCAGGGCTGCTGTGATGTGTGAGAAGCAGGGAGGCCGATTCTTAAGCCCCTCCTTATCCCTGGAGCCTGTTCCCAACTCACGAATACCCCCAGGGCCGGCCTCCAGAGCTCGGAAATGGGTCCAGAAGCTCAGAGAAGGGAAGGGACTGGCCCAGAGACACACAGCAGGTCAGCGACAGAGCCAAGCTGGGACCACAGAGCCCACTTCAGGCTCTCTCTGCAGCCCCTTCCTCCGATGAACCACCCAAGTCCGCATCCCAACTTAGAGGTGGCTCTGGGAGCCTCTGTTCTCCAGGGAGGAAGACCAAGAGGGGCTGCTCTTTCTTGCTGGGCCTTGAGGGGAAGAAGCCAGGTTCGGTGGACACCTGAACATATCCTGCTCCCTGCTTGGCAGACGCCCCACTGCTCCGGGGTGCCTCCCACTGGGCCACCTCAAAGCCCAGCCCGCCCCTGCCAAATAGCCCCAGCACAATCTCAGCTGCTGGAGGGTGAAGACAACGAGGGCACCCTCGGCTGAGAGAAGGGGCTTCATTCCACCTGTGTCCCGCACCAGGGCACAGACTCCACGATGGGGGAACGTTTACACCTGTCTCCCCACAGGCACTCTCAACCTGGATAACAGTGATCACAAGAACAGGAAATGCGGTCTACACACTCACTACGAGCCAGGCCTTTGCCAAGCCTTCCATCACCACAACGTCTTAAGAGAAGGGGATTATCATTGCCCCCATTGTACAGATGAGGAAACTGAGACAGAGGCCTCCCTGCCCCATGACTTCCTGCTGGATTGAGTCAACAGGTGACCCCAACAGCAATGAAAGCAAGAGGAGAAATGGGGCGTTTCTTGCGCCACTCCCCTGAGTGTGGCGTGGTTGTGGCCTCGACCCAAAGCCACAGCTCCAGGCCTGGAAGGTTCAAGAATCCCCACTGGCCCCATCCCTGCAGGACTGAGGGTGGTAACGGCTCCCTCCTGTCACTAGCCCTGGGGGGCGGTCTTTGCCGTTCCTTGCTGATCACCTAACCCTGCCCACGCTCATCTCAGTGGTCCCTTCATTAAGATCATCAGCCCTGTCGGAGTGTGCCAGCTGGCCCACACCTAATACAAATACCCGCAAACGAGTGACGGAATGAATGGATGAATAAACGAATGAATACAGAGGCCCCGCTCCTGGCAGGTCAGTTCCACCGGCCCCCCCCAGCTCCTGCTGGTTTAGTTTTCGGAGGCAGAGATGGTGGCTGGAGGGCCCTCAGCCTCCCACACCCAGTCCGGGGCCAAGACTCACCTGACACGATCTCCAGCCGCTGGACAAGGCCCTGGAGGTCTGCGCCTGAGGACGCGCTGTACTCAGTCACAGCCAGAAACTTGGGGGCCAGAGCTGCATTCTGGGGCAGAACACACCAGCTGTGGGGCAGGCAGCTCCCTGGGCCTGAATGCCGCATCCTCCTTCCAGTGAGCAGCCCTCAAGCTCCCTGCCCAGTACCTGCAGGGAGCCGTAGACCTCGGGCCTCAACGGGTGGTAGGAATGCGCGATGAGGGCTTTCCTAGCCGCTGACTCCTGCCCCAGCCGCCACCGACGCTCCACCTCCTGCTCAAGCTGGGGTGGCACAGGGCTCGATTACCAGGTGGTTACCACCCATCCTCCTGAGACCATTGTATGAGACCAGAAACTTGGGGGCCAGAGCTGCATTCTGGGGCAGAACACACTGAGGCCCAGGAAGGGCAGAGCAGGGCCTCAGCTGGAGGCCAAGTCTCCCTACACTCCTGAATCTATCAGGATCAGTGGTAAGTGCCAAACTGTTAGCCGACAGGGACTTTTCTAGAAGGGGGCCCATCCCATCTCAGGCTGCTCCCACTTGACTGGGGTGTATCTCAACCAGCCGGGCCTGCTTGGGGAGAGGAATCGAGTCACAGTCAAGTCCTGTGTTCCAGAGGCTGCCGAGGGCTCTCCCGAGAAGATTCCCACCACTGACCCACAGGTGGAGGAGGTGGGTAGCAGCAGCCCTGGCCCCAGCCTGGCGGGACGGGAGAGGTATGAAAAGCCCAGGCTCACTCCTGTAATC